CCGGGGACAGGAGTTCTGGTGCTAGGGCGGGGCTGTATAGATCCTGTAGTGAAGGTGAATTATTTCTTTGAAAATCTTCTTCTCTGCCCCTGAGTATTGTTTAAACAAACTAAGTACATTGTTATGATAGGCAAGGATGCCTCTTCCAAAATTGTGAATTTTATGAACCCAGATTTAAGGGTTCTGGTGAGGGGGGGGGGGGGGGGGGGGGGCTTCTATTGATTATAAAGTGAAAAAGCAAAATTTATTTGAAAATATTCCTTTCTGCTTCTGGTTAAAAAAGCAATGAAGCTAAGTGTATAGTTATGATGAGCAAGAGTGCTTCTTTCAGAGTAGTGAATTTCATGACCCCTGGGTCAGATGTGCTGGTGTGAGGGTGGGGCTCTTGATAATATAGTAAAAATGCATTAATTCTATTAAATAATCCTGTTTGCTCCTTGGTGTTAAGCAGATAAACAAAGTGATTATTTATGATGAGCAAACTTATGGTCCCAGGGTCAGAAGCTCTGGTGTTGGGGGGAGGGGGGGGGGCTCTATTGATAATATAGTGAATCTATAGTAAAAATGCATTATTTCTTTAAAAATCTTCTCCGCACCTGGGCATATCAGAGGCAAAAAGAGTACAAGTTTTAATAAGGAAGATTATTTTTACCAGATTTTTGAACATCTGGACCATTTGGTCAAGTGTTCTGGTCCTGGCCAGGGCTCTATTATTTTGTACTTTTGATAATTTATCACTGTAAATAATGTACTTGAAAGGTAAATAGAATAAGATAATTATGCAAAAACTTTTATTGTATAATACAAAAAGTACTTTCATAGTTTTAATGATCAGATAGACTTGTAAGTAGTAGATAAATAAAAATGAGACCAAAATAACTTGTCTTATTAAATGTTCATCAAGGACAAGAGAGGCCAATGTAAGAAATTTCAACAAAGGATTAAAATAGTACAGAAGCATTGATAATTTGTTAATATACTGTATGGTGATAGTGATAAATGGGGATCAGATTTATAGAACATAATTTATAAACTGTTAATGAATATTAAGACCAATTATTTTGCTGATCATGATCACCCTATTTTTCTTGCTTTTTTTCAACAAAGTTTCACCTTTCAGTTCATTTTATACTCTATGCATCCTTTAAATTGTTGTATCATACTCAGATGACCGTTAAGGCCCTTGGGCCTCTTGTTTACAGATTTGGGCGTACCAATAATTCCTTATATACCTTTTTGTATAACAAAAGGTGATACTTTTGTAAGAGGCTTTGAATTTTGATCTGATAGCTGTGCTTCAAGCGTGATGAAGCGAGGCCAGTGTTCTACAACAGAGTTGAGTTGTTCATCGTTAAAAGTAATTTCTAATCCTGATTGGTAACAACTTTATTTTGAGTTTGAAGTAGCCATGGTTAGTTGAAAAACGTTCAGAATCCTTGCTACCCGCCCGCCTCGGAGCGCCAACAAGGGCGATATCTAGTCAAACGGATATCCAATATCCAGTAAGACAGACACCAAGAGGATACAAAGAAACTATACTCAGACATGATATGCCTGATTGACCCAGAGCCACCGCTTAATATAAATATATCAACATGGAAACGTCGGCGTATTGGAAATTGCAAAATGAATCAGATATTTATAAAAAAAAAAAATGCAAAACATCAATACTTAGGCATGAAGATATTATCAGCTCGCGTGACCAGCCGATTGATCAAGTCGGGCCAAACTTGACCTCCCGTCTAGATGAATATGGGGCCAAAGTGGACTGTTGGTCATGTCAGGTGCGTTACACCCAGCACCTGCAGACCGCAGCCACCAGGATCCCCTTCTCCACCAATACGGGTCGCAACCCACGGCCAACAGGTTGCCCCATTTAGTCACCTTTTACGACATGCAAGGAGGTGCCGGGGACCTATTCTTGTCACCCCGGGTCCCCACGGGGGCCCAAGAGGGAAAAATAAAATATTCTCCTCCTGGAACAGTCGGGTTCGGGGTGACTGTCACTTCAGTGACTTTTTACTATATCAGAAACACACAAAATAAGACAAAGATAACAAAGATTTGATGGATGTATATTTACAATGAATAAATATGAAAAACTGGTACCTCCAGTTTAACATGGTGTAAATGAGAAAAAAATATGATATGATTGATAATGAAAGTTTGAGGGGGTTTGATTTAATAATTTGGAAAATATATATGTTTGAACTTTATTAAGAAGTTTACTTGACTAATTAGTTAGTTCAATTTGGATCGGGCTCGGAATTCCTAATATTTGGATTAAGTATGGCGCCTAATGTGAAGAGGATAAATTTTTGAGAGAAAAAATGAGTAAGTTATTGAGATGTGCCCTTAAAATTGATACCGAAATCGGTATGCAGTGCTCGGACACGGGAAGATGGGCTTACCCGTAGCTAACGTGCTTGGAGCAGTGGAAGCAAGAACTCACAGTCCACCGAGACTCTCGATATACGACCTGATATAGTGCGAGTGCACAAAAGAATGGTCACCCAACCGTGAAAAGTTAAAGTACACCTTATTGGATAAAATAACAGTTGATAAACCTATCAGATAACATTTAAGATATAAGGTTACGAAATTAAAGGCAATATGGACAACAAGTGTAAACAAAATGTACTTAAAAAGCATGAGGCAGGTAAACTATCGACTTAAAGAAAATATATACTATCTTTGTACTATGTAGCTAACTTTATTTGATATACTTAGGTTTAATAGTAATTGGAGGGCTTATTTAATATAGAGATAAATTAATTAGATAAATATGAGTTTTATCACATTCCTCCCCCCTTAAGACCAAAAAAAATTCTTTTATTTTGTCATTAAAAAAAAGCATAAAACTCATAAAGCAAACATATAACAAAAGTCAATGAAGAGATGAAAGTCACATCTTGTACGATATTCTCATCCTCTGGGAATTCCAATCTTCATCAAAGAGGATAACCTCATCACGGTTCACACTGGAATTGGTTCGCAGTAGCCTTTCCTCCCCAAAGAGTGGGTTGTTCTCGCAGAATTCTTTTAGTTCCTGTCTCTTTCTTTTCTCCTCTTCCAGTTGTTGTTCTCGCTCTTCAAGTTTGTTCATCCGGCGTGGGAGAATGACATCTCCAAATGGCACATACTTTTTGTTAGTGACTTCTATTTCTACCCACAAGCCATCAATGTTGTCCTTACGGTGACTTGTTATTACATGTTTTCTTACATTTCCCTTTGTTTTAAAACACTGTTTGCACGATTTGCACCTGAAGAACTGCCGATTCTCCTTATGGAAGTCAATCCAGTGGTCCAGCAGTTGTCCGTACCGTCTGAAGTTAACTTTTGACTGGCAGCTTGGGACAGGACAACCCATCCCCTCTAGCGGAAACACAGGCCGCTGCTTCTCCTGAAAATCCTCCAACTCCTGCTGAAACTCTTCGAGATTGAATCAAATGCCCTAACTAAAAATAACCATAACGCCTTTATTCCTTAGAGTACAAAATATATATACTCTTTTTCTTTAATTTGTCTTTTTTTTTAAGTAACATCATAACATAAGAGATACTTTTATCACTTAAGAATTATAAATATAATTCTTGAATGAAATTTATTTATTTACAAAAAAATATTAGAGGAACAAAGTGTATGACCGCATGCATTGGTTTATTAGTATATAAAAACGTGGTTAATAATTTACACGTATTATAAATCGCAGCATAGTTAAGGCAACATAAGGTTTGTTAACACAGCGAGAAACAGGGGGGCACGCACAGAAGAATTTTTGACCCCATACGTTGATGCCATTTGACATATTTTATTACATACACATTCTACAAGGATCCATTTTACTCATGCATATAACTAGGTCAAACACGTGACTTCCACTGGACAAGGTGACCAATTCTTACCTGAAAAACATAGGTTCAATTTCAAATGAAAAGGGCAAGCCCAGTATTCTAGTTACCGATTTTTTTATCATCTTTTACGAAATGTCTCGAAAATAAAGAAAATTAATGCTCATACAGTGTAAATGCTGCATATTTTTATTAATCAAGTGAAAAGACGAGCAGTGCCCCCCCCCCCCTCCCATTCAATAATTTCCACTTTTACCTTTTGATTATAGATTAAATACGAAATTCTCAACAAATGAGCATCACTTTTCCCAGAAACTGTTTGAAAATAAAGCAATACCTGTTAAGTTTAACTCAATTCACCATCGTTTTGCCCTTGCACTTTTCAGTTTTTTGCGCTCCCCAAACTCTCCTCAAAAGACAACTCTGATTTCAAACGCTCAGAGGACTCTTACAAGGGAAATAACTCTGCAGTCACATAAGGGGCACAATTTGCGGGAAGACAAATCTTGATACTTGTATATACCGATGAAAATATAACCTTTTTAATTTTGTTAAACCTTTAACGGAAATACAGCGTTTTTTTTTTATATATATAATACATGATTATTAAATTCTGAACCTGTTTTAATGTTGATTACTTTTTTTCTATTCCAGATTCAAGAATTTGCAAAGAAGTCGACCGCGTTTCCTCTGTACACCGCGACATCTCCATTACACTGAATAAATTTCTTTAAAAAACTATTTTAGTCTGAAATTTTTGTATCCTGTGCTCTTAAACAATGATCCTCATCATTGAAGAATCTACACTTTTTTTACATATCATTGCTGCTTCTTTGAAATAACTTCACCTTGTCCAAGGGGGGGGGGGTATGTCTGTGTTGATAAAACAAATAGTGAAATAAGCACAAACAGCACTGATGGAACAATATTATTTAAATCCAATTTTCTACACTTTTTTTTAATTTTCATATAAGGCATGTGTTTGCATGTACATATACAAGAGGATAGATCTATATACACTTCGTTATTGGTAACAGAATGTTATTTTAAAAAAATGTGGGAAAATGTAAAAAAAAAAAAAAAAAAAAAAAAATCATTACAAAATTGAAAAAAAAATGTGAATTTTTTTTTTATTTTAAGTTAAATTTTCATACGTGTACAATGTAGATATATTTGCTGCTGCACTATCATAGGCAGGGAAAACATCCTGTGGGGCAATTTCAAGGTGAGCTGCAAAGAAATTATGAAATATTGACAAACATTCCCAAATAGGCATTTTTAAGTCTCTCCTGTCATAAACAGAAATCAGAGCCAAAAAAGTAATGAGGATTCCATAAAATTGAGAATGAATTACTGCGATTTCGCAAAAGTTTTCCAAGCCAGAACATCCAAGGACAAAAATGTTTTAGACTGGTTTAAAAATGATGGTAAAACAGATTGCCCTACAACCCCAAAATATGTAACCAACTTGTCTGACCAGCAGAGATTTGATAATTATATATCATTAATTTCCAAATTTCCAAAGCTCAATATGCCATACAGCACTTTTAGATTGAATTTACGCAGAGTACAGGACTTGGTAACGAACAAGAAATTCTTCAGAAATCAAAATAAAAACAAAGAACGTGAAACCTTCAACAAGCACTTTTCTTTTGCAACATGGCAAAATCTTTCTGAAAATGAGAAGTCTCATGAGCTGAATAACTGTCACCCCTGTGCTACTGTTCATTCAGGCTTTTCTGCCCTCCATTCCTCGGCAACTAAAGAGCAGAGAGAGTTAACTGAGGCATGTGAAAATTTAGCTACAACAATTATATCTGCACAATTTCAAAAATCAAAAAGTCCAAATTCACAAAGCAAAGGCATCAAAGTCATTAAAAATGTGGTTGATTTTGTACAGCCCATCATTGAAAACAAAATGGGTATTACATTCAGTTCCAACTTAAGTGACAACCTATCCAAAGGAATTGTCTCCCCTACTCAAATCAGAAAATCAACAGAAAAAACAGTGAAAAAATCTAACAAAACAATTGAGAACCTCATGATAGATAATGACAGTGATGTCACGAATTTCCTCGCTTCTGGGCTATCATACAGCATGTATGATAGAGAAAGAATGAATAAGACACACATAACAAAAGAAGCTGCAGAGCAAAGTTTGAGTACTAAACTTGAAAAAGAGAAGACAATAAAACCTAAAGACCACCATGGGAAATTTAATAGTTATGAATTTGACAGGGATGCTTTTTTTATCAGAAATTAAGCAATACCCTGCAGGAAAGCCCATCAGTTGGACCAGACTGGCTCGTAAGTACAACGTGACATATCATGGCACAGAGCCCCAAAATTCGGGTCAAATATTAATAAGCTTTGCCAAACTTCATGGTATTAATACCAACAAGTTCAATCTATCCCTTAGAGTCAGCGGACGAGATTACACCAGAAGAGTCAGAAGATCCAAAATGAAAGTAGGAAAGAGTCGAATATCTGTTCCGTCAATAAGATCTGCTAAGAAAGTAAAAAACATAGTTAAAAGCAAGCTTCAACAAAAGCAGTTGTATCTTGGAGAAAGCATTGCTCCCAAGCTACACACTACAAACAAAATTGATAAAGATGGCAAACTCACTACATCTAAATGCCTGATTTATGGAAGAAAGATTTCCATGAAAATGATCATCAATGAAGAAAAAGAACGGTTCATTAATGCTGGTGTTTTAAGGGATAATCCTACTAGTGAGGAAGAAGCCAGAATTACATTAACTAAAATCCAGGAGGATTGTTGTAACCCTGAGCCTCTAGAACAACTGAAAAAAATTCAAAACACTTACAACATGAAATTATGGCATGACCATTCTGAAATTTTAAACTCATCGTACGTAAACTTTATGATGTCGTTCCTGTATGACACAGCAAATTAAACTCACATGTGGGGAAAAAAAATCTCATTTCTAAATATTGCTATAATATACCATATTTAAAATTTTGGTAACATTTCAAAGGGAGAAAACTCACTTTCCCTTCAATGTTTGCTTAAATTTACAAGGAACAATGGTAATTTTGATAAATTAAAATCTTTCTTTACTAAATCTTGGAGAAAAAGTTTGTGAAATAAATTAAAAGCAAACAACACAAAATTCATTTCAATATAAAGAAGAGTGACTCACACATTAATGGATATGATCTGAGAAAATCCTTCTGGACTTATTCTTAATTTATTGACCTGTCGTGAGAAACTGAAAATAATAAATTTGTTTTGCCGTACTTTGAGGAAAACTTTTCAAACTTAATTTCAAAGATGTTTAAAGCAATATGAGCTGCAACTTTGATGACTGGAATATTTGTGGCAAAATTGTAATTAACAATTTCAATGCCAAAAAAAAAGAACATTTATAAACTTCTGTTGTTCATATTTGCGATGGATGAACTACATGTATTTAGTAGCTTTGATCAAAGCAAAATTACTTTATCGTCATCCTGTACAATATTGATTTCTTAATTAATAAAATACATTACATTGTTCAAAAACCTTTCTTCTGAGGAAATTTAATACTTTATTTTAGTCTAATTGATAATAATGGTTTAAATTGCACACAGATTTATCATAACAGCACATTTTAACAGGAAAATAAAATTCTCAAAAATGCAGCTCATATTCACTACTGGACGAAAAAAGTGCTGAGAATCCCAAATTTTACTGATAATGTTTGATAATTACTGATACTGTGCTGTTCTTGCTGATAAATACTGATATTTACTGTTATTCTTATTGTTGTTACTGATAATTTTAGTTGTTTCTGATCGTCTTTACTGTTGAGATAAATACTGATAAATACTGTTGATGTGCTGTCGATGCTGAGATTTACTGATAATTACTGTGGTCATTGTTCTTTTGCTGAGAAGGTTCTAAAATAGAGCTTATGGTTGTTAAAACCTTCTTCAATCATTACTTTCTTTTTATTTAATTTTCAAAACAACATTTTCATGTTTCTTTATATTTACTGATTGTGTCAAAAATTATGACATTGATCTCGATTACAATACGGTTGTGAAAATCATGACAATAATTAAAGTTAAACTTGAATAAAATTGTCAGCGTAAAAGCAAATGTTTTTCCAAGAATCTATGAAAATAGTACATGTTTGTCTGTAAGCAGAATAAATGAAATTTTCCTTTTGCATGATTTCATTTTAACATAAGTCACTGTAATACTACAACATTAAGGCTTTTTGGGGTAAAAAAAAAAAAAGATTGATAGCCCGACTCAAGAAATTTGGGTAAGGAGGTTGGTGATTTTTTTCATTAAAGAACACTGAAGTTGAAATAATTATTAATGGATGGGGAAAAATCGGGATAAAAAATTCCAGCAGAATAGAAAAAAATTGATTCGGACTTTCACTCGATCAAGAGAGGACAAACAATCATTTTCATTTTAAATATGGCCTTACGTGATAGCAATTTTTTTTTATTCTTTCCCAAAGATATGCATATTTTTTAATTTTTTTGTTATAATGTTCGGTCTTTCTGATCTTCCCCCCCCCCCCCGAAAATCTGCCCGAAACTGATAAATTTCATGCTTTTTAAAAATAAATTGAGAGATAAAAACAGGGGTGAATATGTTCCGTCTGGAGGCACATTTATTAAGGTCTTCCGTCTTCACGGAAGACCTTATAGTGATTCTACTGTTTCTTATTATTATTCTTTTTTTTTTGACCAAAATTTTGTGCACGCGATTTATCGAAAACTATTCAGTAGTTGTCGCTGAAACTTTCACAAAAAATGAGTCATTACATGAACTTTGTTCATCACAAAGAAAATTTGGAAAATTCCTTTCTGGTTCCAAGTTATGGGCAATTTCCTGATTTTAAAATGAAATGTTGTCCGCGAATTTTCTCAGGAGTGGCAAAAGAGAGGAACTGGAGACTTGTCAAAGATAAAAGAGCATGAGTAGTAGATTTGTGGAACGATTTTTTTATAAGTCATCAGTACTTCCGTTCGTCACCGGAAGTGTTCAAAGAAATCGAAAATTTCAACTTTTCTTTTTTTAAATCAAATCTTGCATCACATTATTGCAACTCTTTCGCAGTTTCGAAATATGTTGGTCCCACCGGAAACAAAAACGACAACTTCCGGTTATAAGAGAAAAACTACATAGTTTGGGTATTTTTCTTTCCCATAAATATCTTTTATAGATAAAGTATTTGAAATGATTTTTAGATATGTTATTCAGACTTCAAATGTCTAGCGTAACCTCAAATATCTTTGCAAAATTCACTTCCGTTCGCGTGTTTTCCTGTCCTCAAAATGAGAAAATATCTGAGCGATATCTCAGAAACGGTAAGATATTAAGATACCAAACTTATATGAGTAATAGACTTTGAAGAGTAGGCAAAACCATTTGGGTTAAACTGTCAGTCGTCACTTCCGGTCGTCACAGGAAGTAATCAAAGAAATCAAAAATTTCAATTTTTCTTTTCTAAACTAAAACTTGCATCTCCTCATTGCTCTTTCGCTGTTTTGAAATATATTAGGTTCCACCGGAAACAAAAACGTCAACTTCCGGTTTTAGGAGATAAAATACGTTATTTCGATATTTAACTTTCTCATAAATATCGCTTATAGGAAAAGTATTGAAATGTTTAAATACGTTGCAGATACTGCAAATGTCTAGAGACAGGTCAGAGATTTTTTTTTTAATAAAATTCACTTCCGGTCGCGTGTTTTCTTGTGCTCAAAATTAGAATTTGTTCTCACAATTGCTCTGCAAGAATAAACGACTGAAGTCTTAAACTTACAGGACTGATAGTCCGAAATCAGTTAATTTGCATCGTATGAAAATCGTGTGTCGCCGTTACTTCCGGTCGTGACAGGATGTGATGCAAAAACGTGAATGGTTAATGGTAAGCACGTTGGATTTTCACGCTAACGACAAAGTTTAAATCTCTAAATTTCTTTTATCACTTTTTTAGCTTGAAATTTCGTTTTTATTTTCAGAATCGGACGGAAGACCTCTTATTGCTCGCAATGAGTTTCTAGTTATTATTATTATTTAACGTAATGCAAGCATTCGAAGATCGTTCCAGAATATAACTCTGCTACATGTTAATACATGTATATGTGCAACCGGCAGATGGGGGCTGATCAAAAATTATTTCTCAGAATTGTAGCGTAAGTGCAATAGTATACACGTGTACATGTAATTTTGATGTTGGTCACTTGCAATTTCACAAGTCACCACATAATACATTTTATTCAGTAAGTTTTAAAAATCTCATTCATTTAATTTAATTTTATGGAATGGAAAATAAGAAATGGGACCTACTACATGTAAAATAATGGATGATTAAGTTGATCGATTTTAATATTGTAAGGTCACAGATCTGAATGGAATACACGTTTAAATTGATTTGTATTGATCAGAAATCGAAGATCAACCCGGGATTTGGCTTTATTGTGTACACGTCTTAGGCACTGGGGCAGAACGGGGTACAACATGTATATTCCATGTAAGTTGTAGTGGTCAGCTTAACAATGGACACTAATTACCTATTGTTCTGCGTCTGCGGCCACCGGTGTTAATAATAAACAAATGAACCTACGCTGTACATTTACTTGCTACTTGGAGCAGGAACAATCTTTATGGACGCATAAAAAAAATTAAATTTTGTTATCGATTTCGTTGACAAATTAAATTATTAGAAAAATGTTTAGCAAAATAGGACACAGTACAAAATAAAAAAAGGAAAAGAAGTGGAGTTACATGTTTATACATTGCACAAACTTATTAATTAAATTAAGTAACTTAAACATGTAAAAATAAAATAAATTTATTTTAATTCACATAGATCTTTCCTCAGTATTTAATTTCATTTGCTAGTTTTACGTACATTTCTTGAGATAAAGTTTAAAGAATATTCGGAGGGAGCGTGCTACATGTAAATTCATTTGAATCTCTGTTAACAGTGTTTAATGGCCTGTAAAACGGAGACGAAGATTTCGACTTTATCTAGTAACATGCTGATCGCATTCATGAATAAATGGTATAGCTGAATTTTGTATTGTTCCTTGATTCTCTAAAATAATTTATTCACGTATGTTATAGATATTAAGTAATTATTACATGTATAACTTATGGAACTTAAAACTAAAGAATCAACCTTGCGCCTATCAGCTTAGTTAACTTACAGTCTTTCATCCCCCCTTTTTTCTGCTACAGTCTGAATATAAGTATATGTAATTGAATCATGTCGCGTGTACTTTGAGTACACTGGTCTCGCACAACGAGAAATGGAATGGACAACAAATATTATACTCTCTGTACAAGGTTATTTCTAATTTTACTAAATGCATGTCGTAAGAAGTACAAAATATACTAATATTTGACCTGATTCTCAAAACGAAAGTGGAAACTTCTGCACGTGGTTGACATGTATATATTTTACACGGTTTTAGAACAACCGAGTAATTTCAAGTTTTGTTTTATTTTTTGTTTTTTAACTGACTGATAGCGTATAAGCAGGTTATTAATTTTTTCTAAATTGATATAGCTGTTACCAGTAATTAGTACGTACATCGTACTAACGGAAGAAAGAAAGATGCGTATTTCATTGAATGAAAATCACACTGCATAAGATTTCTAGTTTCAGATGGCGTAAAAAATAAAATTATAATAATAAAAAAAAAAACAACGGAAGATAGATAGCTTGATACCACAAATTGATATTAAAAAAATTTCGAAGAGGACATAAATTATAGAACTAGAGCGCACTAGCTAAAAGAGATAATTCAACAAATTTAAGATCATGATTAAATCTTATTATTTGAACCTGTCACATTCTTCATGAAAGGGCATATATGTTATATGAATAGATTTTTTTGAGAAATATTTAATACTGCCTTGTTAAAAGGAGAATGGTTTGTAAAGGGGGAGGGGAGGGGGGGGTCTCAACTAACAGAGCAGACGGAACCCATGTTACTTGTCAAATATTCAGGTTCTCTACATGAAAATATAAATTTAATTGCAGCCATTGACTGTATTAAAGATGTCCTCTCAAATTTCAACGACAGTACAAATACACGCGGAAAAAATATAAGATGGGATTTTTAAAAAAAAAAAAAACCTTTGTGAATAAAAAATTGTTTTAAAAAGTACCCGCATAGGTAGAGTAACCACTGCATGAACACTCCCCCCCCCCCCCTTTCAGATATTGACAACAAAGGAGAAATATAAAGATAAAGGAAAACATAAACATTTTTGATCTAATTTTAACATTAAGATGTAAAAAAAATAAAATAATAATAAAATAAAAATAAATAAATGATTAATGAAATGTGAAAACAAATACAATTCATGTGACTTTTCATTTAGAATTTAACTAAGTAGATTGTAATGAATTTTGTTGATAAAATACTTTCTTTAAAATAATTAATCATCACTCAAGCTTTTTTAGCACCTTCTCAGCCAAAGAACAATGACTACAGTAATTATCAGTAAATCTCAGCATCGACAGCACATCAACAGTATTTATCAGTATTTATCAGACTCAACAGTAAAGACGACAGTAATTATCAGTATTTATCAGAAACAATTAAATTATCAGTAACAACAGTAAGAATAACAGTAAATATCAGTATTTATCAGCAAGAACAGCACAGTATCAGTAATTACCAAACATTATCAGTAAAATTTGGGATTCTCAGCACTTTTTTAGTCCAGTAGTGATTGCTTTAAGCAAATCAATTTCAAATGCAAAGGAATATATCAAGAACTATTATAATCTGTCGAAAAGACACTATAAAAGATGTACAAACAACTCATCATTTATCAAATCATTATCTTCATTCTTCAGGAAGTTCAGACAAGGAACAACTTGTATACACAGATACAAGACTCCAAGACTTACAGTCTATTCAAATATCCAACACCCCCGAGTGCATTTAAGAGTTTTTACAGGAGACAATCCAGCAAGACTATTTGAGGCAGGGCAGCAAAGGGGTGGACATTATAGCTGCATATGTGGAGTTAAAGTGGAAGAACATCAAAACCTGGTTCACTGTTACAGACATGAGTCTCTGTCGCTTGAAGAAAGAAGGGAGTTAATCACCAGAGGGGAGCTCTGGAAAAAAATAGAACAAGGAGAAACTAATCCATTCCAGAAATTAAGAAAAGAGGAGCTTGCCTTAGAGCTTGAGCATCATAACATTTGGACAGACACAGAAAATAAATCAGTACTGTCTGACCTATTAACAACAAAATTACATGGTATCTGTCGTCCAGCAGCACTTATGTGTAGAGATCCTTTAAAAAGTGCCGAAGAACACGACATAGGAACATACGAGATACTACACTGTGAACCATTGCATGATATTACAAATGTGGTGCAAAACATCATAACAGAACTGCCCTTTCAGGTCCCAAAGGACATGCAAAAAGAATTTGAATTATTTTCAAATACGACCATTGGAGATAAGAATCAGATCAAAGGATCTGATGCAAGGTTATACGCAGTGAAGCTGGCAAAGTTCATTAGTACAAAATATGAAGATAACAAAATAGAGGAAAAGTTTTTGTCCCTTGTCAACAGCCTTGTAGAAATAATTCAAATATGCTATTCGAACTTCAACACCAGAAACCCAAGACAGATCCTAAGGTTATATAACCAGTGCTTTACATTTGCCATTCTATCTCGAGACATCTTTGCAAAACCATCAAAAGTTACATCAAGGAAATTTTTTGGGAGTCACTTCCATGTTTTATCTGTTCATCTTCCAGAGACGTACAGACTATTTTGTTTGAAGTCAATCATCCCAGAACAAGAAGAGAGAAGCTTTGGTGATCTACGGCGCATCTCTTTACAGACAACAAGGAGGCAAGCTAAATACGTAGTGGATAATGGAGTACTTCGATTCACAGTTCAACAGAAACTTAACTTAAATCCAGACACCATCAAGAAACAAGACTCTATAATCAGTAAACAAGCGAAACTTTTGGACAAACAAAGTAACTCCTCATTTACAGACAAATTCATACAGAAGAATCCACTGCTATTTCAGGCCCACTTGGAAAGGATAGCAGACTTTATGCTGGTTGGTGAAGATGTTTGGTGGACAAGAACAGATGAAGGCGTTGAATTCTTTGATGACCTTGATGAACCCCAAACAAGACAGGAAGGTCCGGAAATTCACCACTTTCGATCTTCTGACCTGAAAAAAGAGAAAGCATACATCGTATCTGCATGGAAAACATGTACAAGTAACTTTGCAGCAGGTTGTCTTAAACTTCCAATCAGCAGAATCAAATTATACAACAAGGAAATGTCAAAGTTCATCTATCCACCAAAAGGTATGGATTCAATGCTGCACATAATTATTTTTTTAAGTTAATATTAATTCATTTTTTAAAACTGAACAATCTTCATTTTTAATTATTTTAATAATTGCAGACCCCAACAAATCAGCCATTGACGATATGAGTCAACAAAAAATCAATAACAAGTCACGACCTGCCAAACAGGTACCATAAGATTAAATTTTAATACAATGTACTTGAAATGAGATTGAAGTAAGTATCTCTTTACTTAAGCATTCTTTTTTTTTGGATAATTACCCTAAGTTGGTTGCTTTTTAGACAACTTATATTTTTTCCTCTGAAATTATTCCCATCAAAAATTTTCATCCCATATTGTAGCCCCAACCTTAAGAGTTATGATTCAATCATATCTGAATCCACACAACACTGAGGTGCTTCAATATCAATATGACTAATAAGGCCCTGCTATTCTAAAGAAAATTCTGACTTATTCCTTTGTTAGCATTCTGATCAACTATTGTAGCAGTAACCCCCCCCCCCCCCAAGTTTTTGCTAACTCTTAATTATCTCCTCTTCGTTTTCCCTTAAACCAAGGATGTTTTTGAAACTGACCCAGTGGTTCTGGAGAAGTCAAAATAAGTTTGACAGTCAGACAGATGCCCGACAAAATGTGATCAACAAGAAGTATGCGAGCCAATGCTCACTAGTAATACCCCCCACTCTGATTTGAATGTACACTATTATGTGAATATACACAAGTTAAGTTACAGACAGACACACAGATAAATAGGAAGTTGACATCAGATTCATACAAAAATGAATCCCACCATATGGCATGCTTCAATAAAGAGTGTGCTATAAATTTCAAGCATCTGCGATGAGTAGTTGTTGAGAAAACTGCAACCAAAAATTTGTTATGGACAGACAGACACACACAGGTTAAATAGTATACCCCCCTCTCCTTGGGAGCAGGGGTATAAAAAAGCACTTGAGCTTTTTTGAGCTTTCAGCTCAGTTGAGATAAAACATCACCATTTACATTATCAAAAATATACATGTATAAATATATAAATGTTTACTATTTTTGATGACAGCAGGTTCTTGTAGTTCAGAACAAGAGTAGCAGAGGACACAGTTCATCTCCTGGTACAAAGGCTTTTGACAATTGAAATCAGGTATATCTACAATAAAATTCTACTTGCTAAGAAAAGATAAACATTTGTAATAGACAGAGGAAAATATACGGCTGGACCGGGAATCAAACCTGGGACCCCTGCATCACTTGTCAGGTGCTCATCCAGGCTGCTATCCTCGGCCCAAATAATTATACAAAAGTGCGTCATACATGTTGGACTTTCAATTCTTCATGCTCAATATTAGACGTAATAAATAAATGTTTGTTTACGGTTACATGCTGAAATAAAATTGGGTCAGTAGGTAGGATTTCTTTTTTATTTTATTGAATTTTTTTTATACACGAATTCACATGAGATTTACCATTGCTTGGTGCTTTACTTTTGTTTGGGCTTGTCATATGGGCGATAGACACGGACATGTTAATATAAACACGCCATTTTGTTTCTATTACTTTGGATTTTGATTTCAAACGCTTGACCGATTAAGATGCATGTAAAAGTTAAACTGACCGGCGAGTGATTTCTTGATTTTTACGACAAAAAAAAATTTGGGTCGGCGATTAAATATTGGGTCAGTCGGGTAACCGTAAACAAACATTTTAAATAATGATTTCATTTCTAGAGATGCATCTCACTTTTCCATATTTCATTATCACAAGTCTAAAAGTGAGACACACATAATTTTTTATTATTTTATCAAAATCCTTTGATGTGACAGCAACTCTACTGGTTTGTTCTTGAAAGAAAGGGAAAAGTAACACTTACATAAAGGAGTTTGTGGGAAGATTTGATATTTATGCAAGCCAATGTGTTTCCTTATATGACTATACTAAGGAGATTGATATTCAATATTTGATGACATGAAGGTCATGTGATCAGATTCTATCATATACCTAGTAGTGAATCATCCTTGATATAGGCATATTGAACTAGGTTAGGCAGCATTTGAAAACTACACAGAAATTTTTATAATAAATTTGTCAAAGCACAACAAGGGACTAAAATATGGAAGTTATAGACTGTGACATTGTATATTAGGTGCATTTCCATAGCAGTGTATTAATAAAGAGGTTATTTTTTTATTCCTTCTAAATTGATTTATTTTAACTCATATTGTTTTAGATGTTGTTTTCAATTATCAACCTGATAACAATTTAAAATTCTAACAAATTGCATATATATCTATATTTCTGTCTGATCGTTACTGAGATAACTTAATTTTCGTGACATCTTATTTTTGCGAGATAGTAGTAAACTCTTTATTAGCGATACAAAATTTTCACGAATTGTGGTTTTTGCCCTATATAATAATAGGAATACTAATATACATGAGAATCAAATTATCTCACGTAATAACACGAAAATAAAGTTCTTTTGAATAAAAAGTGATTTACAGTATTAAAGTCAATTAAAGATAAACTTTAATTATGTATGAACACAAATCAAAAAGGAAATAAAGAAATAAGGTATCATTTTTAAAGTTTCATTTGGATATGACATGCAGTTGGTATAAGATCAAATCTACTATAATGCCATTTAATTATCTTAGTAAAGTGTACATGTGGAGCAAGTTTAATTAATATCAGGCAAAAACTGTAGAAAGTGTAGCATCTAGGAAAATTGTTTACGCTAGACAGACAGATAACAGGTGAGAAGACAGGATACAGACACCTAACCAATGCACAATTATGTTCTCTAATAAGTTGAGCTAAAGAATGCCGATTTTAATTGCAATGTACTAGAACCATTGGTCCTTGATGAAGTTGGAAACTAGGAAGGAACATATCAGCACGCAGAAGCTGTCAAAATAAAAATATCCTCAATAACACAGTAACATTAATTACATGGATTACAATATAGATTTATACAGCTTTATAAATATAAAGTATCTACTAAATATATACATATATACAGACAAGAGACCCATGGGTCACAATGCTCTCCTGAAAAACCTTGGCTGTGCAGAATTTTTCAATTCCCCTCCCCCCCTTTCTCCCTATTTCCATAAAAAGTTTTGATTTTATAATTTGGAGTCCTATACTTTAAGGGGTTCATGAATTTACCAAATCCGAATCCACAAAACATTGAGTGCTACAATATAAATATGACCAACGTGATGTTGCTGTATTATTTCCTGTATGCATGCAATTGAAACTTGATCAATGATTTTAGCCCAATCCTTACCCAGGGCCCATAATTTAAAAAAATGAAAGTACAAAACTTGCAAATACTTGTAAAATATTGATTTTTGGTGGTTCATCGGATTTTTAAAAATTATTTTCCCCTCTTTATTTTCCAACATAAAATGTTATGTCCTATTGTTGCCCCCACCCTATACCCCTGGGCATTTATTTATTTATTCTAAAAAAAATGAATTTGCCTTTTTCATGATTGGACTAAAACCAAATTTTGATATAAGTTTAAGGCCATAAAACAAATGACATAAGATATGTGTCATTTGCAAAGTTTATTTGCATCTGCTGCTCACTGTCACATTATGAATCGGGTATAAATCCCATAACAGACAGACAGACATAGGGATACTTAGAAAACTGGAGTAATAATAGGTATGCTCTAGAAAATACAATTAAATTTCAAACATAACGTTTCAGAATATTGTTGAAATCTTGAAATCAAGGATTTAACAATTATCATGATAATAATAAAAACAATGATAATAAAACTTTGTTTTCAAATATGCTTTCTCTCAAAATTAAAGCTTCAACTTTCAAACAATCAGGAAACCTGCACAAGAAGTGAATCAGCTGAAGTCAGACAAGATGAGGAGAACATGGATGTTGCCAACAATCCAAATCTTGCAATACCAAATCTGTCACCTGCAAAATCAGTGGTAAAATTATGTACTGCTGCTTTGAGCCATATATTTCTAAAAAAAAAAAAAAATAGCCATATTGGTTACAATTTTCAATATATAATTGAGTGTACAAAAGGTAAAGGTAGGGTTTATTCTCACATCTGGGGGTTTACAATCAGAGCTGCCTACATATATGGCACTAATGCTTTTACATCCACATATAGCCAGCTTGTCTTATGTGTCATGTACCCATTTAACCCCTTGGATGGAGGATGAACCAAATAACTTGCCCAAGAGTACAATTCTGCAGAGTTTCAGCGACCAACCAGAATCAGACCCTGCGTTAGCAGGTCCTAATCTTATATGCTTACCTACAGTTACTAAATCACCCCATTATTGAATCTTGAGTATGAATGCATGAAGTTTAAAGTTTCTCTCTGAAAAAGCCAAGGTTTAAAAATCAGGGGTGAGCGATATCAACAATATATCAGTATAATGCAAAATTAATCCCTACGATAATATATTGCAATATTTTTTTTCAATACTGGTATTGACAATTATGCTAAACGGAAGTATTATATAAATGCTAAATATTTCATTATCCAATTAAAATATGTCCACTCATTTTTTTTTTAACATCAGTCATGAAATTATAAGAATAAACTTTAAAAACATTTTGTGCAATTTCTTATCATTCAATAATCTTTTAAGTGTCTTTATAATCTGTTTATAGTTGTTCGCTCTATTGTAATACAGACACTTTTTGCCCCTTTCATTTTTATTTATTGGGGAAAAAAACGAAATTGATCCTTTTAAAAATTTTTCCTAATTTGAACTTATTTTGTATCAATTTTCCCAATTCTACGGACCCGGACCCAGTTTACAAATGGTAAGACCCAGTTTACAAATGGTAAGAAAACCCGTCAAGGCAAGGGAGATAATTTTCTGGTGATTGAATTTGCATATGAATTAACAATTTCTCTAGATTTTCAACTTAAAAAATGGACAAAACAAACAAAAGAAAATTGCAATAAATGAAACACTTTAATTCTTTATAGCAAGTATTAAAAAGTGTTAAGTGTTTTTTTATGATTGACTACTCAAAAATAATATGGCCTGATAGAAGAATGTCAGTTTACTGTTTAAGGTTGTTGCTCAAGAAGGCAAGCTTTTGAAAAAAAGCTATACTTGTACAGACCTTTAACCTTTACCATTACTGAATGTACCCAAATTTACATCAGAGGTGGGAAGTTTTCAAAGGAAAAGATTACAAATAAATAACCCAGGTAATATAAATACTGTATACAATGTTATTTTCACCCCGTGTTATTTTTGCCCTTTCACACTTGCAAACAATTTTGTCCTGTTTTAATTTTGCCAAGGCAGTCACAGTTTTGTTTAAGAAATTACGTTTTTTTTCTTGGAATTCATCCATAAATTTACCTACTTATGACTAGGGCAAAAGGGGCAAAAATAAAATGGGGGCAAAAATATCCCTACATACAATAATCAATATAACTTTGCGGAGTAAAAAAGGGCAACAATAAACAAGTTACAAAATTAGAATCAATTATGTAACTTTCCTTTTTTCAGAAGTGTATCGTAAAGGCTGCAAAAAAAGATTGTTTGCTGAAACCAAAAGTGAAAATTTATCAAGTCAGTTACAATACACATGCATCACAAAAATTTTCTCTCTAAAAAATAGATTTTTTTTAAAATATGATTTTTATATATGTATAACTTTTAAATATGCATACAGCACAAGTTTTGTCACTAAATGAAAGATTTAAAAAATGATTTTCATGCAACAATTTATTCTTTTTAAATTTAGATCAAAAGAGATCAACCACAGACATTTTGAGAGCCCTGCTTGGTAATAGTGAACTAGTCACAAAATATCAAAAATATAGAAACCTGTATAGAGGCAATCCCCATGATAAAGACTTCAGAGGAAGCTATGAAACTTCACTAGCTCGGGTTCAGATTGTCATCGGCAAATTGCAGAGGGAAATGAAGGAGAATCCTGAAATGAATGAGAGAAAAAAATTAGTGGAGAATCTTCTAGATCACTGGGGAATATATTATTTTTGATGGATGAGTTAGCAACAGTTTTTAAACAAGAGGCCCATGGGCCATATCGATCACCTGAGCACTATGGCTGGGGGGGAGGGGTTAATTTGAACGAACCTACACCACCTAAGGATGCTTTT